TTTTCTTTTAGCTTTACAGCAAACGCTGTAGATAGCTAGACTCTTGCGAAGCTTGGCAGAAGCAATGTCCTTTTGAGGCCAAAGCTGATGCCAATAACCTTCCCTCAGACTCACCACTTGATATCGTGATATGTGCGTGAACTTGAACAAAAACATTTTGCGAGGTAGGGCATCGAACTTCCTTGCATTACTTTTTTTCTCACAGGGCTTCACTAGACTCGACACGCAATCTTCGCTTCATAAACTTTCCCTTTTTTTGTCGCAGACGTCCTTCTTTTCAAATTCCTTCTTCAGGGTTGGTGGGGGACGAATTCTCAATTGACAAGATGCATTGCTAGCATCCTTTTCTATGCTTCCCATTGTCGCACTGCCGCATTCCACGAAGCCATTTCACAGCCTCAGCCATTCATTGTTGGGTTCTTTCGCTCGTGCCTTGGAGATGTCGTCCATGTTGAGTGGAATGGGTGACTCTATGAAGGAGGCAGCCAAGAAGAAGATTGAGGATGAGATGGGCGAAAAGGCACCTGCAAGCATCAAGCCCCTTTTCCCCTGCTGTGGTGGCCCAGTCGGAACTATGGAGAAGTGCATTTGCATGGTCCCAGCAGATCAGCAGGAACAAGTGAAGTCGGCCATCGAGAAGTACAAGAGCCTCTGACAAGCGTACTGTGTCATGCCTCTTATGGCTGAGTGCACCTTTTTCTTTTAGCTTTACAGCAAACGCTGTAGATAGCTAGACTCTTGCCAAGCTTGGCAGAAGCAATGTCCTTTTGAGGCCAAAGCTGATGCTGATAAGCTTTTCCTACTTGACATTCTGACATATGTGTGAATAAAGGTCCTCCCAGGAAGGTGCTTTGAATCCGTAGTTTTTACCTTGAAAGTGAATCTCACCAGAAAAGACACCCTTGCATACAGTGGAGGTTCTTCATTGATAAAAGGAATTGCCTCCAAGAATCCTCCTCTAGAGGATTCCATTGCTATTGGGTTGGAGGCCATCGCTTCTACTCTGAGCTTGTTCGCTTCCTTCGTGCCAAACGATCCGGGAGGCCGATGCTCTGGCGCCGTTGGCGTCCCCCAAGGGGATGGAGAGAGTTCGTGGGGAGTCCAAAGGAGGGACGGATCACACACAGATATGTGACATTTGGTAGATCAAAACATGGACATCGGACATCTGGCAGATGAAATGGCTCCAATTCAGTCTTGTTCAGGGAGAATGTGCAGTGATGGAGTCGCTTAGAGTTCCTTTCAATTTCTTGGCTGCTCTCACAGGTCTTGCAGTATCACTCTCTGCCCCCACTTGGCAAAACACGTCCGTTTTCATGTCGAGACCGGGTTTGCAACCATCGGCCAAGACTCAAGCCTAGCAGGTTGCCAGATACGGTGACCACTGGAGGACATACGAGCTCCGTACGCAGCTCCAAAACGATCCTAAACCGATCCGACGGCCTCGGGAAGAACGTGTTTCCCAATCCGTTTTTCCACCAAATCCACCAAACCCTAAACCCGAAACCCACATTGGTCCAAACCCACAGCTGTGCCACGCTAGTAGTAACAGGTGCCTTACTAGTAGTAACAAGAAGCTATTAGAAACAAGAAGCTCCGAGTCTGCCGGAGCTTCTCCGAGGCATGGAGCAACTCAGCGCGGGGCCCGTGGACTTCGTCGCCCGCTGCGTCCAGGCGAGGGGGCCATGTCCCGGTGGTTCCGAAAAGGTCCCGCCGTAGCTTCTTGTTTTTAATAGCTTCTTGTTACTACTAAGTAAGGCACTTGTTCCTAGCAGCGATGCACTTGTTCCTAGTAGCTTCTCTTTTTTTTCTTGTAGTAACAAGAAGCTACCAGGGGCTCCTGGCCTTACTACTAGGAGCAAGGACGCCACTAGGAGCAAAGGGCATCGCTACTAGGAGCGATCGGACGCTTCTATTTATTTCTTGTTTCTAGTAGCAATGCCCTTTGCTCCTAGTAGCGTCCTTGCTCCACAACCGGTGGTTCCGATGGATGGAGACATAGATGGCATGGATGGATGGATGGATGGCAACACCAGTTTCTTTTGCTTTTGATAAGCCTCCTTTCGATTCTGCTTTTGTGTTGCTTTTGGATGGGCATCCAAAGGAAGATGAATCATGCATGGACGGCTCAATTGCTTCATCGCGTCTTCAACATGTGAGCTCGTGAAGAAAAACTTCCATGGTGTCTCTTGACACCTTGTCCATGACACCTTGGTGGCTCAACGCATCCATGGTTTGTGTCATTTGACCGATGGCCGAGGGTCTCTTCGCCGGGCGCTTCATCTACATCAACCGAACTTCACAGGGAGAGCTTTTCGGCAGTGACCGCAATAGCAACGTTTGGAGCCTATCGTGTGCATTCGTGACGTGCAGGCGAGTTTGCAGATGCTTCAACTTCTTTTTCCTTTGTTCCTTTTCGTCCAAGAGAGGAACCTGGAGAACAACTGTTCAAGATCTGCATGCTCCTTGATGCTTCTTGTGCATTTAAACCGTTTCTCCCACCTCTGTCCCATACAAAGCACCTGTAATAACACCAAAGGAAGCTGAGGACGGACTTCAGCTTCCTTAGGCGGTGACCATGTACATTGAGAATGCTGGACTCTCGCCAAGTCATGCAGAGATCAAGCGCGGAGCTCAGACTCCACGCTCGACGTCGAAGAATCCAAGTGCTCGGGACGTGACGGTCGCTCTGGCGCCGTGGACGCCGTGCGTGGTTTTTTTCATCGCATGGCTTCTTGACAGAGCTGGCATAGAAAAGGTTTTGGGACCAACATCATTTACATTCTGGATGGTGAGATCACAATGCAGTCAGCCAGCGTTGCTTTTTTTGATTGCAACCCAGCGACAAAAATGATCAGCATTTCGGTGGATTTCATCCGTAAAAAATCCGTCCGAGCTTCCTGCAGTGCCCGAGGTTTGTCGCTGCAACCTGCCAGTATTTCCTCACGGTGGGGAGGGACAGTCGAGACTTCTCTTAAAGAATAGGTCTAAAGCGCTAAAGGATTTGAAAGGATAAACAGAAAGAACAAAGAAGTCTAAAGAAGTATAAAGATCACACGTAAGACGTAAGCAAAGAGAACGAGAGAAACGTAAGAGAACAGGAAAAAGAGAAGACGGAAGGTTTCGTCAAACAAGAACTGGAACAAACAGAAGAGAAAGGTCCAAGGGTCTCAAGAATGAACAAGCCAAACAAATAGGAATGCTAGAGCTCGATTCTTTTTTCGACCTTTCACTTTGCTCTTCCTGCTCTTCCTTTATCTTCCTTTCCCCAAGAACGACTCAGCCCTTTCAGACATGGGATGCGTGCCAGGATGCTGGAAGCGTTGACGGTACCTGGGCACGGGCCACAGAGGTTCACCGTGGCCAAGTGAGCTTCACCGTTGGGGTTATCCCCGACCGGGTGAGCCACCGGGTTAAGCCACCCCACGCCGAGCAACCGCAGTTTTTTTAACGCTCTGTCAGTGACCGAGGTCCGAATAAGATGGAACCGGTCCGTTGAGATCGCACCAGGGCAGGAAATCAGGAGAAACCCGAGAAACCGGGGCCGTTGTGGGAAGAGTCAGACTCGCGTGATGTAATAATTTTAGTACTGTTCAACAACATGAGGAGACCTAACAAGCTTGGGCTAACAAGGTGGCCAGACATTTTTGAGTCGTTCGAATCCGCCATTACCATTACCATCCACCATACACATGTTCAATGCGCATCGCTTCTCCAAACGTGAGTCTTCCGTCGCCGCGGGTCGACGGCCAGGATCGGTGACTCTCTGATCGAAGTGCGGCAGGGGCAGGAGATCACAGAAGCTGAGGAGGTGGGAGAATTCTTCGAGTAACCAGTAACAAGAAGCTACTAGCAACAAGTGCATCGCTACTAGTAGCTTCTAGCTACTAATAGTAATGCACTTGTTACTAGTAGCGATGCCCTTGTTACTAGAAGCTGAGGAGGTGGGAGAATTCTCTGGAAAGAATGGCGAGAAAACCAGCTGTCATGTGAAGTCGTGAGAATCGTGGCGTGGAACATGAAGTGCCCGAAAAGCATGTCGTGTTTGTTTGCTTGTTTGTGTGGTTTGTTCCATGTGCAACAGGGATCCCACCCGAAAGCTCGCCCCGATGGCGATCGGTGTGTAGACCGGTCTATGTTCCGAACCTTCCAGGTCGGAACGCCGGTTCGGTCTCCTTCTTGGTTTCTTTCTTTTTGGACCTCTCCACAGCAAGTCTTAAAAAGGTGTTCTTGACGTACGGGTACTATATCCAGAGTCACGCGCTGATGATATCCAGTGCGCTTCTCTTCGAACTCCACGCTCCAAGTCTTAGCTCCACCAGGTGGAGCAATGGCTCTCCACATATCAGTGCCTTGGAGAGTCAGTGGATGTGACGGTCGACGAGTTTGTGGTCGAAACTGGACGAGTTGATGTGAACAATTTATCCTTTCTTTATGAAAGGCCGTCAATCATCATCAATCCATTTGAGCATGAGTGAAAAATTAGGAGAGCAATCCAAAATAACGACGATAGTGATCTAGATGTGACTAGTTAAGTGCAAAAAACACACCGATTGCGTGCAATCCTACTCTATTTTCCCAACCAAGGAGATTGTTTTGGTTGATCCAAAGCCACTTGCCCCCACCAGATCGTTTCTCCACTGACTTTCCATAGACATGAACCAGTTGCATTGCGCTATTCAAACGACTATCAATGTATGGGCCTCGCTGAGTGGCTGCACGGACATTTGCAGAATGTTTGAAGAAAGACACACATGTTTGAACATTTTTCTGCGCATTGCAATGCATCTTGCCCATTTCCACCCAATGCCTTTGACTGCAGAGAGTGCACTGCTTCTGTTGAGATCAAACCCATGACTCCAACTTCCGTTTTCCCGAAAGAATACAAGAAAACACCGTGCCCGTGGTGTCCAGGCGACCTTCCCCGACGGCGAATCGGCGGATGCATCGGTGGACCGAGGCTGCAGCGCTTCGCAGGTCTGCTGAACGAGAAGGGCTTTTGTGGCCTGTCGTCTCTACGGCACCGCTTGTTGCAAGAGCTGCCGTCGCCCGGGACACCCAGAAGCAGAAGACAAAGGGAGTTGGAGCGGCGGAAGGAGGAGGTGCGGACAGACTCTCCAAAGAAGGGGTCGCTAGTAGGTTGGAGACCATCGCTAGTAGGTTACCTCTCCAAAGAAGGGATTTGGACGTGGGAGGAACCACCTCTTTGCTTTGGTTTTTTCAGGGTCGGAGCACTCCGTGAGTCCACAGAAGTGCACACTCGATCGAACACTCGAACGCAAAGAAATACTTTGGAGTTTACGTAAGACGATGACTTGAAACGAAGACATCATCACCGATGAAACGGATTGTCAGGTCGGTGGATCGATGAGAGTCTCCCTCTCCCTCTCTCTCTCTCTCTGCTGAGACTTTCTCCTATTAGCTAAACAAAGCTTCTCCCCGCGGGCAGTTCAAGCGTGCAAGGATGCTCAGCGCTGAACTCTCCAACGAAGATTATCAGTCGCTGGAAATGGCTGCCAAAGAGTTGGACAGGCGACTCTCTCGGGTCCCAAGCGGCCGCGGGTTCGGGCCGCCGGCTTGGATTCGGATGGTACAGACACAGCAAGCAGTTGATAACATTAAAACCGACATGTCGAAATCAAAGACGCAGTGGCCATCCACAGAGGAAGTTTTTTTTGTACGTCGACATGGATCCCATCGTCATCTTGCTTGCTTTTCGGTTCTCGAGTTCTCGTTCTCGTGGTGTTTGGGTCAGTTGGGCTTTCTGAATCGACAGACTTGGCAGGATGTGGCCCAGTGATGCATATCCCACGCACACCCTGGAGTTGCTTGGCGCAGTTGAACATGTGCAAGAAACATCAAGAAACCTGGTAGAATTCTGCAAGGTGTTCAAAGAAGGGGAGGATATCATACAACTTCCACTGTCAGTTTCGCTGCTTTTTTTAGCAGCGCTTTGGATGAATTCTTCTGGCGCGATGAGAACAGTGCGACGAGAACTGTCGACAGCAGCGGAGCTCGACGGCTCGAAAAGACTGGTGTCGAAGATCTCGACATGGCGTCGATTTTCTCGGTTGCTCGGTTGCTCGGTTGCTTCATCGATTTCGTCCACTTTCGGAGTGGATGTGGGTCTCTTTGAAAAGCCACCCGTTTCAAGGATTCGTGCAACGTTCTGATGATTTTCACACAGTTTCACCATGTTTCACCATATAGTTTTACCCACTTTGAAAACCATCTTTCACCTCAGGTCACAGGGAAAACCTGAGGTTCAGTGTGCGGCCGGCCACGGGCTCCACGCCCTGCTCGGGCGTGACGCCGAGCGAAGGCAGTGGTTCGTGTGGCACGTGCCGGTGGATTGGGTGGTTCGTGTGGCCAATTCAATAACTATTCAATGACCATATGAATGGAAATTCAATGACATATTTTATTCTGACGATATAGCTTCGTTCTTTTTGATATTTCTTCAGAATCGTCAGACGAAGCTGTTGAATCTGCTCAACCACCCAACGTGGGGACAGGTGCCCCGGCCGGCGACAGCGAGCTTTGTGGGATGCCTCAGGATGCCACATGACATGTGCCTTCCCTTCCCGAAAAACATCACCGCCCGGAATTCGCCCGGAATTCACCCTCTTTCAGCAAAACGTCACATTCATGATGGTGCACACATGGTGCAACAACGTGCAACAACGTGCAACACATGGTGGACATGATGTGCGCCAGGTGAATTGGCGAAACCACTCGCAGTGCCCACCGGATCCACTGAGGCTCTTCAGGGGTCGTGGCCAGCGTGGGATGGGCCGGGAAGCCTATCCGGTCGTCGTCCCGGTCGTTGGCATCGTCCCAGTCAACAGCACGGGGTAAACGGAAAGGTGTTAAACATCAATGAGAAGTGTAAACATCAATGTGTTGAGCACCATTGATGCTTTTCCCTTTTCTTTACATCAATGTGTTGTCTTGGTCGCACGTGGGAAACGGAGAAACCATGAAGAAGGAACGATAGGAATCCGGAATTCAGGAATGAACATGGAATGAACATATATTTAGGAGCAAGGACGCTACTATATAGTGACAAAGGGCATCGCTACTAGGAGCGATCGGACGCTACTAGGGGCTCCTGGCCTTAGTGCTAGGAACAACAACGCTATGACGTCTTCTTGCCAGTTTGCAGGCTGGTGGCACTATTGAACTTTGGCCGGTCGGAGTTCCCGCCGAGGAGAAGGCGCTGGCACCCTCGTATGTCGATGCTTCTGTTTCTTGTTCTTCCGTTCCGTTTTGATTTATTTTATAGACGGTTCTTTCTCGTTTTTTTTCTTCGGTTGGGTCTTAGTGCTGTGATTGCTAGACTTTCTGGCCTGATGCGGTAATCGCAGAGTTTCTGCATGTCCGTTTTCGTGGTGTCAGCAGGAGGTGGATGATGCTCTGTCGGGAGTCCACTCGAACAATTCGAAGGACAGAACTCTCACCTCACTTTGCTTGTTTCTTCAGGACAATATGGTTGTAGTACATGTGGCCACTGTACTTTTCTGCAAGTTTTGGTATGTTTTGGTGATGACTTCGTCGGGGAACCCTCGGTCGGGTTAGTGCTGGGCTGAAATGTTTCTCAGCCATTGGTGTGGATGCTTCTTTCCCCTAGAAGAGCATTGCATAATATTGCATGACATGATCACATGGTTGTGTTCAATCTGCGCAGGACTCACCGGTTGGACAGGCCTGGACACGTGAGAGACACGGATCGAGGAGACGGTGTGTCGAGGGTCGACTCCGAAAAGAGTCAAGCCGTTTGAGCCACGCAACGGACCCGCTTTTCCAGGAGCCTTTTCCAAGCTTGGCATCGGCCTATTCGGACACCCAAAACTGGATTGTAAAGGAACATCCTCTTCAACGGGTCAATGTCTGCTGTGTTCAGTAGAAGACCCAGCTTCGAGGTGCACCGGACGTTCCTCGTCGAAAGGAAGGGCGTTCCTCATACAGTGGTTTCAGAGTAAGATGGCATAATCCCCAACAGGTGGTTTATATAGACCCCTATATAAAAGCCATCTTGGGGTTTGTGCCATCTACTCTGAAATCACTGTATGAGGAACTACAGTCGCAATGAACACTTTGAAGAAGCCGAAGAGACATGAAGAGAAGCCGACATGGTTTCACCATGGACAAGAGCTTTCTAGCCAAGCCCGTTTAGCTGGTGAGATCCTAAAAGCAATCCTTGTAGATAGGGAACACGTCACAAAATTTGGTTGGTAATTTTCTGGGAAGGACGCTACTAGGGGCTCCTGGCATCGCTACTAGGAGCGATCGGACGCTACTAGGTTGGTTGGTTGCACTTTCAACTCACGGAAGGCTCATATCGCTGGCTGGCTTCGGCCGGAACAGCTGCGGATCGGCCTGGGTGCTTAGAAAGGAAAGGAAGAAAGAAAGGTCCCAAGAGTCTAAAGACATCTAGAGAAACAGAAGAAGAGAAAGATGTTCGTAGAGGGAATGTGTGATGGTGTGGGATGTGCTTTGCAGTCCTGAGATTAGTTATTTCAGTTTGCTGGTCAACCACTGACACTTTGCTTTTTGCAGTTTCAGGGGTAGCAGTAGTGAAACTTTCGTCAACGAGACACGAGTACAAAAGCCAAGCCAGGGCTACAGTAGTTGCTGTTGCCTAAGATCTACGCCACATACAAGCATGCACATGCACGCCGCTCGTGGCAGAGTTGCAACATATTCTGCCACCGACCTGAGGCTATTCTTTTGGACGATACTATGTGCATTTCAGCGTTGCCCTTAGCCGCCTTAGCCTGTTAGATTCAGAATTTAAGAACAGGATCCATCGTTACTAGTTCGGAGGCCATCGCTACTAGGGTGGAGGCCATCACCTCTAGTTTGGAGGCCATTGCTCTTAGGTTTCCATTTAAAAAGAACACGTTCCGTGATGATTGGGTCCATGATAGGCACTCCAGGATCGATCGGAGTCACCGAGTCAGCTGATCACTGGCCATCGCAGGTGAGCGATCGGCGGAGTCAGAACAAAAAGGCCCGGATGGAAAGCCGAGGTGTACCGTCTGTCCTGTGTAACATGTGTAGAGTCTTTTTCAAGAACGATGTCGTGTATGTCCAGGTCCAGGTCGACTTTTCTCACTGTTGGTCACTGTGTGTCAACTGTTGGGCGTTGTCACAGACAGAGTGATCGTGAGCATCGTGCGGGTTCGACCGTGGTCTTTTGCCCAGACTCCGTCGTCCGTCGTACCTCCGTCTCCGCCGTCCGACACGTTGGAGTGAGAGCGAACAGGCTGGGTTCGGCTACGAGCAGACCAGAGCCACTGGCTTATGCCACAGGAGCGAACAGTCGTGATGGTAGTTGTAGATCGCTGTAGATCGTAGTTACACCGGGGTCAACAGCTTAACAACTCATGTTGGGCGGTGGGGGAAGATTGGCCATGTGTCATTGTAGGTGGGGTGTGTGTGCATCGCTTGTGACTTGCTGTTAATCAAGCATGTGGGGCTGACAGTCAAGTAAAAAGATCGTGGTTTGATTTAACATGATTCAAATACTTCCATTGAATGATCCAATTTGAAGGGGCAAGTGGTCATGACCTCAAGAAACAACAAACAGAGCATCTTTAGCCATGCGAGAAAGGTTTCTTAGCCCCTAAAAACCACATGTCGACAGACCGCCCTGTTTCGGCGGCTTTGAAGTTCGAAGTTCGGAATCTGTTTGTCGTTGTGAACGTTCAAACCTTCGCCCCACGAAACCGCGCTCGCTCGGTGTCGCCGCGCTCGCTCGGTGCTTGGTGACGGCTCCAGGACCTGTTTTCCATTGGAACCCTGGAGTTTCAGGCGATCCTTCGTCGCGACGCGTTGGAACCGTCTGGGCACATGGGGGCACGAAGCCAAGTACGATCGCGTGGCGAGGATAGCACATGCTGGGCACATGCCCTGACTCCTGTGTGTCAGAGTTGTGGGAGTCTCTAGCGGACAGGGCAGGCCGGGCAGGCGCTGTGTACAGGTCTTGCGCTTCAATGCAGCGTCCTACTCGGAACAAGGCTTTCGAGCAACAATGGAGGAGCATGCCGGAGCACCAGGGTTTTGAACCTGACGACGAGCATTTGCTGCTCCAAGAACATTGATGAGCATGGTGAAGTGTAAGTCTCGTTTGGAGGCATTGGTTAGACAGCCCCAAAAGAGAACTTGGTTGCGGTGTATTCCTTCCGAGAGAAACTCAACCTGTGGTTCGTGATGTCAAACAGGAGCCTCTGAAACAGAGCGGTGTCTGTCAGGAATTTGTTGAGCGGATTCCTGTGTCGAGCACGGAGATATACTGATATACTATGATATACCGGGGTCATTGGTCATCATGCTTCTAGATAAAGACCTTCTTCCAGGATGAGGACATCCTCATTCAAGATCTGGCAACCTCTAATTGGAGGCTGGGCCGCTTTCACTCTTGTGTGGCCTCCCTAGCGACATCCACCAGTATTCAAACAGTCGTGATATGTTATACAATGTCTTTCAACACTCAAATATTGTTTGAACACTGTAAGTTAGTATTCAAGAAAAAATTGATTGGATTATATTCTATCGACTTTTCACGATGATGGAGGTGATTAGTTTGGCCGTGCAACTCGCCTAAGCATTGCTTCCCCACAGCAGAGGCAATGCTCTTATTTTGGCATTTACGATGGCCATGGTGGCAGGGACTGCGTGAACTTTGTGCCGGGTGGCGCAGAAGACTGGAACAAACTCCTTTCTCTTTCAGGTTCTCCAGAGTCTAGATGTCCAGAGTCTAGACCTTTCCTTCTCCGTTCGTTTTGTTTCTTTCTGTTTGAGCCCAAGGCCAAGCACGCTTTCGTTTTGCACAAAGACCTTGCGCGTTAGGGGCGTGTCTTTTTCCCGCGCTGACCCTGGCGCCCACTTGAGGCGCCGGCGGTTGCATGTCAACATCGTCGCCGCCCTGCATGCCAGGGGCGGACTGGATAAGTCTGTCCAGGCTTGAAGAGCCAAGACCCGTGTTTTTAGAATTTCCCGTTGAATTGAGCATCATTTGTTGGAATGTTTTTTTCAGCCCCTGTTGAGGTTCACCAGGACATGCACGACAGCCTCATGCAGGGCTTCCTAAAGACGGATCAACAGTTCTTGGGCCTCACACAGGCGCAACAGCCGGTTTCCAGCTGCTCGGACCGTTGAAACACATGGGTTGCTGTCAGTTCACGTTGCGGACCTGCAGATTCTTTCAGTTCAGAAGGACACGTTGCGGACCTGCAAGTCCATGACAGTGAAGAGTCTTTTCATGCCTTTTCCTGCAAGGGCATGGAGAACGGTGGTTCCGGAAGCACTGCGGTGGTTGCTTGTCTTGTGCCTTGGTGCCGAAGCCGATGCTGAAGTGGTGTGGATCGCAGTTGAGAGTTGTTCCGTTTTAGGGTGAGGAACTCTTCAACACTGCTGTTGTAGAAACAGCCTTTGGACTCTCACTAGCATTTGGTGCCTCGTCATGTCCTTCCAGAACTTCATTGAATACTTTTGCATTTCTTGATAGATACTGTTCAAACTCAGCGAACTATACAGAGTGAAAGGCATCTCTGTTGCCTCTGTCAGCTGAGGTGGGTGGTTGGGTTTGGTGTGCGAATGTGGGCGACAGCAGAGCCTTACTCTGCCGAAATGGCGTGGAACCTCAGATGTTCTTATATCAACTGAGGAGCTTGTGTCTCATTGAACATCATCGCTACCAGCAACAGGCTTCATCTTTTCTGTTTTCACTTCTTTGTTTCCTTTTCTGGTACGAGAGCACGATGAGATGAGTGCTCTGGTACGACAAGAAGGCCTTTTCTTGAGACTGTAGGGTCTTGTGAATGATGGTGGCCCTGCTTGAGACACATGCCCATGTGAGTGAGTCACATGTTGAGACACATGTGACGAGGAAACCTGGCCCCGAGTTTGTCTGAGGCCGAGCGCTACAGCTGTCATTAGACCACAAGCCCAGCCGCGCAGATGAGTCCAAACGCATCGAGCAGGTGACGGTGAGATGGATGTGATCCAACCTTTTTTGTCGGTTTGGTGATTGGTGGTTGAGTTTACGCATTTCAGGGTTTTGAACTCACACAAAGCGAAACCAACGCGACGGGGCCTCAATTGCGTTGGAGGTGTTTCAATAAGAGGAAATGCATGAACAATGAGAAGAAAGATGACTACTTGTTGAAGGTCAAAACGAGATGAACTCACAAAGGGTCCGAAGCACCTTTCTTTTTTCCCCAATAGCCATGCTATGGGGTCTTGCAAAACTAATAGGCGGACGGGCGCCGTCGGGTCACCGTCAGAGCTGGTGGGCAGATGGTGTCCCGGTCATGTTTTGATGGCGTCCGGGTCATGTGATGCTGGTGTCCTGGTGTCCCGATCATGTTTTGATTGTGACCCAATCATGTTGTGATGGTGTCCCGGTCCTGTTTTGATGGTGTCCCGGTCATGTTTTGATGGTGTCCCGGTCATGTTGTGATGGTGTCCCGGTCATGTTTTGAAGGTGTCCCGGTCATGTTGTGATGGTGTCCCGGTCATGTTGTGATGGTGTCCCGGGCATGTTTTGATGGTGTCCCGGTCGTGTTGTGACGGTGTCCCGGTCATGTTTTGATGGTGTCCCGATCATGTGATGGTGGCGCGGTCATGTTGTGATGGTGTCCCGATCATGTTTTGATTGTGTCCCAGTCATGTTGTGATGGTGTCCCGGTCGTGTTTTGATGGTGTCCCGGTCATGTTTTGATGGTGTCCCGGTCCTGTTGTGATGGTGTCCTGGTCATGTTTTGGCGGTGTGCCGGTTATGTTTTGATGGTGTCCGGGTCATGTGACGGTGTCCCGGTCATGTTGTGATGGTGTCCTGGTCATCTTGTGATGGTTTTCCCGTCATGTCATGTTGGTGTCCCGGTCACCTTGTGATGGTGTCCCGGTCATGTTGTGATTGTGTCCCAGTGATGTTGTGACGGTGTCCCAGTCATGTTGTGATGGTGTCTCGCTCATGTTGTGACGGTGTCCCGGTCATGTTTTGATGGTGTCCCGGTCATGTTGTGATGGGGTCCTGGTCATGTTTTGGCGGCGTGCCGGTTATGTTTTGATGGTGTCCGGGTCATGTGACGGTGTCCCGGTCATGTTGTGATAGTGTCCCGGTCATGTTGTGATGGTGTCCCCGTCATGTCATGCTGGTGTCCCGGTCACCTTGTGATGGTGTCCCGGATATGTTGTGATGGTGTCCCAATCATGTTGTGACGGTGTCTCGGTCATGTTTTGATGGTGCCCTGGTCATTTTGTGATGGTGTCCCGGTTATGTGATGATGGCGTCCAAGGAAGAGATGGTCGATGTGTTGAAAACAGCAGCTGTTTCCAGATTTTTCTTTTTGTCCCGGTTTGTATCTTGCTATTGGGGTCTCCAGCTGGGCTAATTGTCTATTCTTCTTGGACATGTTTTACACAATTCCCGTGTTTCTTGAGCGTCTTAGAAAGATGAAACAAGAGGTCTCAGGTGAATCCGGATCCTCGCCTTCCGCCTTCAGGCAGGTGGCTTTGTATCCTTCCACCGAGTGTGGCAGCCTCGGAGTATGAGCGCCCTGCATGGCCAACCTGCTCATCGACATGAAGCATGAAGGGTTGGGGGTGTGGGGGGCGTGGGTTTTTTGGTGGTTTTGGCCCAATGTCATCTAAACCAATTTCCCTCGCAAAACACGTGCCACCTCGAGGGTTGAGCTTCTGCCCAAGTCTGGACCTCCCTGTGCACCCGCCGTCAGGCTCGGGCGCCTGGCGGTGTCTCGTGCTTTCGGAGACGAAGAGTACAAGGTGCCGCGGCAGCCGCCATGCACTGACCGGCACAGCTGGGTTTTGAGGTGTGGGACCAAAACGCGCGCAAACCTTGGGCAGCTGGGCAGGTTGGAGTGACCAAAGCAGATAACATTTCGCAGTCAGGGTCTCAGTTGAGCTCGGCACTTCGAACGATGCGAAACCGAGCGATGAGTCGAGAAATCGTGCATTTTTCGACTCATCGCTTTTCGCAGGTTCTGTTGGGCCCCAAATGCCATGGTGTGCGCAAGGTAGATACATTACTCCCAATGCCTTTGTTCGGGTCTCAAGCTGGTCTCAAGGCCATTGGTCATTGCCGAGCCAGAGATCCGGGTAGAGCAGCTCACACCGGAGGACCAAGAGGGGAAACCGACAAAGAGGCCGAAACGCGGAACGCGACGAGTGTGGCGTAACTCATGCGGATGCGCTTGATGGATTGTTTTGTTACTTTTGTTTAAAAGTGAAAGCTGTTGATTTCATCTTGCCTTTTGACACCTGCTTGATGTGGTATACAGACCCAACGGGACAATGAAGCTTTTACAGTGAAGGCTCTGAGAGTGAGCTGTCAGGCTTAATCTAGTACATATCACCCTCTCCCTCTTCATCTCGTCAAGCCACTGCCTGGCCACAAGCCCTTTTACTCAAGTAGTTGGTACATTCTCCTCTGGCACTCTCCAAGAATTCCTACTCTGTACCTTCTGCGTCAGGACGAGTTCCTCTTTATGGCTTGCGACGGTCTTTTTGCCGTCTTTAGCTGTCAGCGACCTGAGAAAAGCAACCATCGGACGACGGGTGGCGAGCAATGCCGCGTCTGTTTCCATTTCCGGCGTTGAACATAACTCATCTATAATTGTGGACTCTTGAATATATTTCGAGAGTCTACATTACCCCTGTCTGTCTACTGTACCCTAAACCATCCTAAACCCTAAACTAGAGTAGAGCCTGAAACGTGTACATCAAAAGTACATTGTTTTTCAACCTCAAGCGATCGAAAGCCCCCGAGGCCAAGAGGCCGTGGATTTCTTGCATAGTCGCCTTGCAGCCATGCCACCCAACGAGCAGGCGTGGAAATTGCACACATCGCAACAAGAGTTCTCTTCGGCTTCCTTTTGCTTTCTTCTTCACGCGCGCACGCGAAAAAGCTTCTAGTAGCGTTCGATCGCTCCTAGTAGTAAGGCCAGGAGCCCCTAGTGGCCTCCTTGCTCCTAGTAGCTTCCTCTTGCTTTCTTCTTTCTTCATACCTTCTTTCATGTTCTTTCCGTGTCTTTATTTCTTTCAACCGGTCTTTCTTTCTCCTTGTCCTTGTCCTTCTCGTTCTCCTTCTAATCTCCGTCACGACTATTCTTCCACGGCAATCTTTGTAGACGCCTTGAATCACTCAACGCAATGGACAAACTGCCCGTCCATTTGTGATACTATTAGCTCAAAAAAGCATGGTTTTGCTTCAACCACGAGCGGTTTCGACAAGCTGACACTGACAGTTTGAGGGTGACGGTGGCCGTTGGACAGACACATCAACAGCCGACAGCCCAGGATCCACAGAGAGCTGTTCAGGACATTGTTCATGAAGCAATTCATGAACGCAGGTCACGTGACAATGTCGGGCTCCCAGACCAAACACTATAAACCAACACCGTGACACCAGCGAACACGGTGAGTCCACACACCACTGGGTCGGTGGAGTCCTGGTGGAAGTCCCGTCGGGCTCGTTCCGCTCCGCCTCTGAGGTCACAGCACTCTTGGTGACCTTCCGGAGAGCTGTCCAGCGACAGTGAGTCCGAGTGACAGCGCGTTGCCGAGGTGTCAGGTCCACACCGGTGGGATCGAAGAACATATTTTGCTCCAGTTCTCCTCCGTTGTTCTGACAAGAGACCAAAAAGACCAGGAGAGCTTGGTTGACCGACCTAACCACGAAGGTCATTCGCGCAAAAAGGTGGGTCATGATCCATGGAGAAACAGAAAACCCATAGCCTCCAACCTAATAGCAAAAGGAACCGAGCACTGGCCTCCACTAGCGATGGCCTCCAACCTAGTAGCGATGAAAACCCCTAGGGACCCAGGTATCTCTTCAAGTGGTCCACTTTCCGACCCCCGAGGCCAGGATCAACCTGTTACCTCAGATTCGACTCTGCAATGATGGCAAGTGAGAGGGATCTTCACGCGGAACACGTGTTCGATGGTTTTGGGGGGTCTTAATACGATTCCAAGAGGCGTTAACCCCATTTGCATCATGAAGCTCTGTTTCTTTTGACTCTCTTTTTCGCTCCCCAAGTCCGTCCGGCAGCGCGAACACACCCTCACACCCGCAAAAGGAGAAGAAACGCTCCGATTGATAGCTGTCATGTCGAAGATCCCTCCTGCTGTCGCATTTGAACCGTGGTTGTGCAGTGCATGTGGAGCTGCAGGGCGAAAAGTTTGCTTTGCAGTGGCACCGGTGGTGCGTGACACGGACGTTAACACGAACGTTGCAAACGGTGCGCAGCCGATGCTCTGATGGACGTTGCCCTCTGCCGCAAAGAACAGGGTTGCTGGATCCATGAAAAGAGCTCACCACTGGATCCTTTTTCCCCTTCTTGGCCAGTTGGTGTTTGTGACCTAACCTAGGTATTGGAGCTTCACTTCGTCACAGTCAAAACATGTTGTGTTTGATCTCTCAGAACGTACAGTAGTTATACATATATAATAAGTAACTGTATATTTTGTGTGATGCCAATTGCAGATTCTGCTGCAAGACAATGCATTGGCTTTGTCAGGGGAGTGCTACTTGTAAATTTGGTGGCCAGCTGAAGATTTGTCTCATGCTGATTCTCATATTCAGTCTCCAGTGGTTTGTCTCTTTCCCTTGAACATCACCAAGAACCTTACACGCCGATGGTGGACTGCTTGCCCAGCCACTCACCTTTTCTCTTGTGTTGCACAAAAAGAGCAAAAAGATGGTCGGATATGAGACAGAGACAACCATCAGAAGAAAAGCAATGACCTCCACCCTAGTAGCGTCCTTGCTCCTAGTAGCGATGCCAGGAGCCCCTAGTAGCTCCTTGTTCCTAGTAGTAAGGCCAGGAGCCCCGATCGTAGCGTCCTTGCTCCTAATTCTTCTTTGTTTTCGTGGCGAGTCAATGGTCGGGCTCGGCATGCCACCAACAGTTGGAGAAGAGTTGACAGGATCCATGGTTTTTCGATTACTCCAGCACGGACCTTTCATACATACAAGTCGACAAAGTATCGACAACTGCTTCATCTAAGATGGGCAGTGAAAGCTTAGATGTGGTGCGGCAAAGCTTCCGACAGTTTGACCTGAACGGGGATGGAGTGTCTTGTCCAAGTGTCATCTCTTGTTCGCTTTCGAAAGTCTAACCATTTGCTTTACAAATAGGCACTCAAGCGACTCAAACAACCAGCAATTTCTTGAGAGTTCTGCTGCAAAAGGAGCTTCCCTTGAGTCGCAAAGTGAAAGTTCTAGCCATAAGTTCATTTCCGATTTTCTATCTTTAGAGCACCAGGTCCGATTCACTCAAGGATCTAGATGTCATGTCTATCTGCCCAGGTAATAGATGAGGTGGAACTTCAAAATGTCCTACAAACCATTGATCCTGATTTTTGGAAGGATGCCAAGCTGCATTAGGACGCCAAGCGGAACGACCATTGGGCTCAGAACCAATGTTAGTTAGCATTGACGGTGTTTCTGATGTTGGTTTGCGCACGTCTCTTCATCTGTTTCTACAGATCCCACGCCCAGGATGCCGCTGTGAAGGCCTTGTTGGGCAGCATGGACAAGACTGCCACTGGAAAGGCCAGATGTCGCGGGTCCTTCGTACATCTTCGTACCTTCGACCCTTCAGTGCCCAGGTTCAGTATGAAGACTTTGTTGACTGGTTGGGTCAAGGCTCGTCCGAGTGACACAAAAGTGTAGACAGTCTGTGGATCCTATGCAGGATGCTGTCCTATCCTATCGTTTGTGGTTCTTTCAAACGTCAGTTTCATCACACTCTGAAGAGCTTTGGCAGAGTCTAGCCGTTCCATTGAAGAATATGGGATTGCCGCGTGACAGGGCTTAGAAGGTCCAATAAACATCGAACAACATTAACCTCGACCAAAACACAGAGGGACACAAAGAGCAAGAACTTCTTGACTGGTAGGTATACGACATGTATACACAAAGATGCGGATGTTTGAGCCAAAGCCTTTGCTCAACGAACTCCGACGCATTGGACGAACCATGTCCAGGCTTGGACTCCACGGTCTCCAGGAACTTCCGGAGCGCGTGAGCGCGGCGTCGTTGCCGACGAGACCTCGTTGCCCGGTGTCGCGGTGAAAAGCCGAGTCGATGTGAGCGATGGATCGCATGCCCAGTGGATGTATACGTGTGTGTCACACCGTTTCGTATGAGTGAAGCTTTCCTAGGCATATGATATCATCATGATAATATCTCCTAGACCCTTCTGCTTGCAGATATGTGGCACACCAACTCTCCCAGGCATAGATTACAACTCTCCTACTTCAACTCCACTCATGCAGTTCATTGCAGCGATTCCTGTCGTCTTCTGCGAGTCGTGAAAAAGACTTCTGGCACCGGGTAGGTACGAGAAGCTGCAGCACAGTGACAATGAGTCTGAAGCGACTCGAAGCCCTGAAAACTCGCAAAGCTTAGGCGAGAGGACGAGTTCGACTGCCATGCAGTCGAGTCATAAAACGGAGTCTTTTCAACCGCCGAAGTGGTCAGCACTTGTGGCTTCTGTCCTGGCTTATGACAACTTATTGTGTTTCTCTTTTCTTCTTTAGAGCTCCCCATTCCACTGAGTCTCTGTTTTGCTCGTTTCATTTTTTTGGGGTGACGAGTCAATTGGCACTTTCACGCTTGCTGGACCACCCGGGCTACTGCCAGAGAAGGTCGAAACACCAGCCCTCACAAAGAAAGCTCCATGTCCTGTCAGGCGACTTCAAGCCACCGAAGGGCAAAGCCAAGTCGAGCTCAGCTCCAGGCCGGTACCGTCCAGGCACCGCGGAGGCTTTGCAGCGGTCGGTCGGTCGAATCGTCGCTCGCTGAGGCGTGAAGTGCGACAAGATCTTGGAGTTTGGGAAACCCATCCGCAATGTCACTTGGAAGGGACGGTGTTGTCCTCCAACCTAGTAGGTCTTACTAGTAAGAATGCTCCTAGTAGTAACACCAGCCACAAGCCCCTAGGAGCTTCTTGCTACTAACTACTTGCGATGGCGTCCACCCAGGTTGCAGATTCGAATTCACAGTCCTACCGTCCAAGATGACGGGGCTGGAGTTGATTCTTCCATCGAGTCCTCCGTTTTCGAAAGATGGACCGTATCTCTGAAAGAAAGCGGTGCTCTGAACACTTGGTTTTCTTGCGCTTCATCCGAACCAAGTTCTACTCGTCCTTTTTTCTTCTCCGTTCGGCGACGGCCGCACCTCGTGCCGAACCGAGGCGATCTGCATCGGTGGAGAGGTCTGGACGGTGGACTGGCACGGCGTCGTCACGGTGCGCGACCGGGACAACGCCTCCAAGGTCCTAGGCCCGCGTGGGGCACGGTCGTGGGGAGCCGTGGAGCTTCGCACCGTGCCACAGCGAGAGTCCTATAGCAGGGGGTATCTAATTATAGCTCTCTATAAGTGTGTCTTTAGTACAAGAGCGTCCCATAAGAGTGTCAAACAATGTTTGGCCGCTTGTTTTCGAGCACGTGTGTGCATTCGGGTTCGTGGGCTCCATCCGTGTTTTCTCTTTATGACACGAGAGAGCTGTCCAAAAGTCCAGATGGTGATGTTTCTTTTTTGGGGGGGATTGTGGGGTAAACCCGTTGTTTTTGTTTTCTTTTTTTCCCGTCTGATTGGGGCTTCCACTGGTGTGTAAGGATTCGTGGCGATGTGTGTGTGTGTTTCTCTTTATTCTTTCACGCGGAGGTAGACTGAATCCGAACACCGATCTCCGACCGATCTCCGCCGGGCGGGTCGGGCACTGTGTTGGCGTGAGGCACGATCCCCACCGACAGGCCTCTTGGAATCGATGACTAGTGAGCAATAGTAACAAGACTGGTGACTTGTGACAGTGGATAGATGGATATGGAGTCTTTCCGTTTTCTTGAATGGTTGGTTGGATATTCTGCAGCTTTCCTTTCCTTGAAATAAGGAACAAGGACGCTACGATCGGGGCTCCTGGCCTTACTAGGAACAAGAAGCTACTAGGGGCTCCTGGCATCGCTACGAACGGAGCGATCGGACGCTACGATCGGGGCGCTCCTTGCTATCACGGAATCCAGAGGATTTTTGAGAATTCGTCTCTACGCAAGTTCTGGTCCACTCCGTTGGACTGTCGCCCGTGCTCTGAACGCTGCTGAGGTTTGTTTGGAGCATGCTTCATATGAAACCTGGGCTCATGTGGATGGGCCAGGAGGCCTTTGGCATTTCTCTCTTTGATACCAAGAAGTGCCTTGGATGTGTTGGCTTCAAGGTCCAGAAGCCAGATGCATGTCGAAGTGAATGATTCTGTGATAATTGTGCTCTATCTCTACTTCGTACCGCGGGTAGAAGCTTTAATTGAAATCCACTTATATAGTGCAGAAATGGAAAGAGGATGAAAGAAGGCGTCTTCAGACGCATCATTGCCTGTCATTCCAGAAGAATTCCCGTTGGAGTCTGAGACTTTGTGCAGACATGTCCTGTGCGAAACTTGGATTTGCTGGACGCGAGGAAAGAGCCCAAAGGCACCTTAACTGGTGGCCACACTGGTGGCGTCACTTGCCTCGCCTGTGACGACAGCATGGGTGACAACGATGCCGAGGATCTGTGAGAATGGGAGGTGATGGCCTCCAACCTAGTAGCGATGGCCTCCTGGATTGGCTTTGAAGGTTCCTTTCCTAATCTTCTCTCTTCTCTCCATTCCCTGATGCTCAGCATCAAGAGGGACACCCAGGGTGTTCATATGCTTGATTCTCACATGCTGAGGCCAAGTTGTCGTCTAGGCCACACGGTCAGGGATCCAATTGAAAGGTTTCAATGTGCACAGTGTTCCTAGTAGCTTCTTGTTACTAGTAGTAAGGCCAGGAGCCCCTAGTAGCGTCCTTGTGCCTAGTAGCGGTGTCCTTTGCTCCTGGTAGCATCCTTTTTCTTTGTGCAGGAGTTTCCCAACAGGAAAGCCTGGAGTGGAAGCAATGACTTCACTATCCGACACTCAGATTGCAGAGGAAATGATGTGGAATGCATCACCCGTCCCACCAGTTCTCACACTTCTTCCAAGGCGAATGGTACATTCACACCTGGCGCTCAAAGAAAGCTATGCCAGCGGCTGTGAAGGAAGACAAAGAAGCGACCATTGTGGAGCTGGGTCGATGGAAAGTTGGCATCCTCAAAGGAGCGGCGACACGCTGCAGCGCGCAGTGTGCTACAGCGCTTGGAGTGCAAGGGCGGGATGTGCACGGAGTTTTCCGTTGTCGATATAGTTTTTGGTTCGCCTTTTTTCTAAATGCCCTGCTCGAGGTGTTTGAGAACCCCCAAGCCAGTCATGATGTCCTTGTCATGGTCATGGTCTCGCTTCCAAGAATATCTCCTTGGCAATGAACTTCTCTTGGGGAACCTAGTGGAAACGGGGAACACACCTGGCAATCCGCGACACATCCACGAATATCTCCTGGCAACACTTGACGCGGTAAATGGATGTAAGTGGGTAAATGAGTGGTGAACATGTTTGAACAATGTTCCTTCAGATTTTTGTTTTTGGCCGACCTCCCTCCTAATAGCAATGGCCTCCAACCAGCAATGACCTCCAACCTTCTGATTCCTTGTTTTCCAGGATTGCATATGCATGGTCACAAGAATGGCCTGAAGACCTTACTGAAGCTGGGCCCCATCTTGTGGTCCGGAGCAGATGATGGATCCATCAGGCGTTGTTGAGCGGTCATGGTGCCAGGTCGTAACGAAGCGGTGTCAAACAAGGTGCATGCATGGAAACGTGTCACATGGGTGTCTCTGTGTGTCTTAAGTGCTGTTGGTGTTGGATCGAGGCCACGAATCGAGTGGTAGGTAAGATGCTTTTGCTCGTGTTCACACTCCACGAACTGACTGGAGACCATGAACTGCTTCAGGTGAAGAAACGGGCCAAATAAAAAAGAAAACGCCTTCTCAAGTTGAAAACGCAGGGCCTCGATATATCGACTGATTGAAGATGTTTGTCAACTTGTTTCTGTTGTTTGTCGAAAGGTTATGGCGATGCATCGATGGCGAGTGCATGGAAATCGTTGAGGACTCCGACTGTCGTGTTTCGACGTGTTTCGACGTCACGACGTAGGACCTTTGCAGCTAGTAACAGGTGCATCGCTTCTAGTAACAAGTGCCTTACTACTAGTAACAAGTGCCTTACTACTAGTAACAATAAGAATTTAATTAGAATTGTAATCCATCTTTTCAGAATGATGGCGCCTGATCATGGCCTGTTCAGCTGACAGCAGCGCTTAATGACACCAAGTGGCTTTGTTGTGGAAACGGATGTCATGTTGTGACACAAACACGGCGCAGTGCAGGATGCCCACACCGGCTCTGTCAACAAGCAGCTCGAGCGTCCAAAACCAGAGCGTCACTTCCAGTTGTATGGATGTCTTCATCACGTCTTGAGTATGAAGCCTTTAGCAGATCGCAGATCGTTGAAAAGGCTTTGATACGGAGACACTCCATGCGAAAAACATCACCAAGCCATACTAGATTGACAATCCTGGATCTACATACAGATACATCCAGTAGTTTCATGTATTTTTCTTTTAATCTCCTTCATCTTCCCACCGAACCCGTGCCGGTGGCGGTCGGTGGACCCGTGGCGTCGAGGCTCACCGTGGTGAAATGCTTCGTGTGGTCGGCGGGATCCGACGGCCTCATCAAGGCGGGAAGCGACGACCGCGACGAGCAGCGCCGGAAAATGCGCGGCTTTTGGTGGAGGTCACACAGGAAGGATGGGGGGGCCAGTATAACGGCTATTCCCTGGTCGCTTTGCGACGCTCAAAGATGGTAAAAACTAGGCAATGCCCTTGTTACTAGTAGCGAACATTGCTCCTAGTAGAAAGGCCAGGAGCCCCTAGTAGCGTCCTTGTTCATGATGAGGCATGAAGTGTCATGCTTTGGTCGTACAAGGGTGTTTGCCGCTTTTAATAGGCTCTCCAATTGCCAGTCTTCGAGGAGTGGAACATGACGGGTGAGAAGCGCCAGTGTCTCCGACAAGTTGCACCACCTGGCAGTGAAAAGGGTGTCTTGGAGTTCGGAATGGACTACTAGTAACAAGTGCCACGCTAGTAGTAACAAGTGCCTTACTAGTAGTAGTAACAATGTTTGCTCTTAGAATTAAATGTAAATTAACTACTAGCTTCTTGTTACTACTAGTAAGGCACGGGCCTATGAGACTACTAGTACTAGTAGCGAACATTGTTACTACTAGTAAGGCACTTGTTACTAGTAGCGTGGCACTTGTTCCTACTAGCTCTGAGTGTCTTGGGGTTCCTTACAATTGACCGGACGAAAGCACTGGGATTGCCCGCCCGCGGCTAGCCGCTAGCGGCAGTGCAAAGTCCAAGTTAAAACAGACAAGTGTGGACCACTGTGCGGATGAGACTTGAAGGAAGACACTGGGACACAGTGTGAGCTACATAGAATGCTTTCGTTCATGGTGATCCTGAGGCACCTTTCCTTGTTTCGTTAGTTTGATGCGTTGCACTGAGGTATTTATGCCTTACTTCCCCTGGGCCACGATGTGTGGGTTTGTGGACATCATCCAACGATCCAAGTGTTCTCACAGCGAGATATGGCACAAACTTCTGCTGAAGATGGACACAAGCCTTATGTATCCAACCTCATTGGGGTGGATCGCGTGGAGCGACCTGACTGAATGACTCAGCTTCTTTTTTCAATGACTCGGCCGGTTCAGCTTCATCTTCAGATTTGCCTTCTAGAATTGGCCAGAAGCCATTTTCATTCGAAGAATCGCAGAATCACCGAAAAACACCATTTGGATCGACTTGCGGAGCTCCGGCGAACAGCTCGGGCGAACGAGGTCCAAGATCGTGTGGAGTACTTCCTTCGGAGATCGCAAGCTCAAGGAGACCATTCGGAGACGAGTACTGGGTGCAGCACATCCTGATCGTTTGTGGATCATTGCGAGGGCCTCCAACATAGAAGCGAGGGCCTCCAACCTAATAAAATTGAGCACCATTCCATTCCACACAAATCAACATGAACCAACCCGTATGAAGACATCGTTAGTCAATGGGAAGCTGGACCAGCGCTGCCACTGGCGCTCCTACCGCTGCCAGCAGGTTTGGAGACACACCATTCGCGGGGAAGAAGCGTCAGTAGATGAGTTGAAGCTCGACGACAAGAGCGGTTTGAGCAGTCTGAAATGGGAGTTTGCAAGATGGTCTGCAAACAAATAGAGATGAAGAGGATGTCAAATGCTCAAAATGCTGCTTTGCCCGGCTGTAACCTTTCATTTCTTTTGAGATTTGCAAGTCTCCTTGATGGTTCTCTTCAAAGATCGTAGCTTATCCCAGAGTTGATGTTCTGGCACGTGTTCCTTCAGGAAAGCTGCAAACATCCTGTACCAACAAGAGGAGGACCGGGCAAAGTTTGAAAGCATGCAAAGGCATCCCTTGCATTGATCCTGAAGCTGGAACTCCCATTCCACCTAACAAGGAGCTGGTGAAACTTACTTACACTAGTTGAATGGTCACCTATTTTCTTGCTCATACTGAGCACTGCTTGCGCAAGTCTGTCCAAAACTACAACATTTCGGATCATTTTGTTGAGCCTTTGCTTGGCAGGAGACCCAAGCAGAGAGAATTGGGGGATATTTGAAGCGTATCCAACAGCTGCAAGAGTCACAAGAACTCTTGGACGAGCGCAACAAGACCTGCCAAGTGCTTCGAATGCACTTTTTGTTATCGGGGTATCCTCCAACCTAATAGCCTAGGAAACTACTAGCGATGGCCTCCAACCGAAGAGCGATGGCCTCCAACCTACTAGCGATGGCCTCCACTTTGATGATTGTTCTTTTTCCTCCTATGCACCATTTTGTCGGGGGTTCAGAGAGAGCGGAACTGCCGCATGCAATGACGACTTCCGGTGTCGCTGTCGTGGGTTGTAAGAAGACATTCACATGTTTCTTTCCCTTTTCCTTAGGAAAGCCGAAGGTCTTGTAGCTCTTCTGCCTGGCATGCCTAACGGCCTAGCGGTTGCCACACATCATAGAAGCAGGTTCCCTTTTCTTCCGTTTTCTTCAAAAAAGAGAGAAACCACAAAGCCTCGACTTTCGCTAACTTGCCTTCGTCCAGGAACTGAAAGAAGCGCTGGAGGCTCTGCGTCAGATCTTTGCCGAAGCAGGTTTGGAGGATTTGCTCGCCGACCCCGAAGCCCTGAAGGTGCGAGTCTGCGAGTTACACCGGGTGTTACAGGTGGGGTGGTTGTTTGGACCAGTTGGAAAGGAGTTTCCAACAAAAACTGCAGGTGCTGTTGGATTGTCTTTGGAGAGTTTTCTCAACACTTCTTGCCATTCTGGCGAACAGTAAGGGTATTTCGCCATAAAACCAAACGAGTCGGAAGCCCTGAGAGGTTGGACTTGTCAAACACTTCGGAGCCCTGGGTGTTTCTTCCACGTTTGGAAGCTTTCGGGATGTCCCGATGCTTGGGTGTGTTCGCCCCCGTTGCGGCGCTTCTCCGCGCTGGTCCGCGGTGGTGCGAGGCCTTCGTGAAGCGTGGGGCAGCTCTGGAGGAAGTCCTCCGGCGGTTAGGCCTCGAAGACCTTTTGGAGGCGATCCGAGTTGGATTGAAACACCTCTGTACCATTGGGGGGTTTATTAGTCAAGAGTCTACATGTGCCATTATCGTTGGTTAGGTAGGTCTGGGATAAAGGTGATACTCGAGGCTTCTGTTCATTCGACTTGCTCGGTTATTTGTTTACTTTGTTTGAGGGTGATCACCCGTGATCGATGCTGCCATTTTGGCGAAAGAGGCAGAGGGTGATCCCCAGGGTCTGAATTTTTCGTTCTGATTTGGGCCTGGGGACTCACCCTAGGTTTTCTTAGATCGGACGCGGCTCCAGCGATGTCGTCCAATCCGCTGCCGCCGTTCGCAAGGCAGCAGGCAATGGCTGCCTCACGGGCTGTTCGACCAGAAGACTCGATCAGTAATGTGAGTGGCCAAAGCTGGAGCCATGTTCATCGAGAAGACCTTGAGGCAGATCTGCCACCAGCTGATTTGGAGCTACCCAAGCGGCATTCAGAGGTGGTCATCGAGAATAAGGTCACGCCTCCTCCTCAAGCAGATCAGACGAGTGCGACAAAGGCTGATCAGCCAGCCAGTTCATCTGAGCCACAGCGGCCAGCACCACCAGCTCGAGCAGAAGTGGCTCCCAAGGCACCGCCACCGGGGATCCCTCCTCCACCTCCGGTCTTCAGCACCTCAGCTTCGGCACCTGCCACACAAGCAGCTCAGAACCTGCTAGCTGGAGTGAATTTGCAATACGGCTCACGAAAGCTCAGAAAGCAGGCTGAAAGGGCAGCTCGAAAAGGGGCGAAGGCCTTGAGGTTTGGACAGCTCGGAGGAGGCCTCCACAATGCACTGTCTTCAGCCCTGCCACCTTACCTGAGCCAGGTTGGCTCAGGTGAGAATGAGAGATCAGTGATCGTGGTCGACTCTCGTGATCAGAGGATCTCAAGTCCATTTCAGGGCTGGTTGCTCGATGAAATTCTCATCAATGCGCAGGCCGGGGTCAATGTCTTATCAGACGCCAAACTGCTGCGCAGCCCCTCGACCGGGTACCACATGAGCTTGTTCTATATGAGAACGTTAGAGGGGAAGAAGTTCATCTTGGTCGGCTCGATGACGTCGTACGGATCGGTGCCGTGCGGCAAGTGGGACTCCTTGACCGGAGACGTGATGAGCCACCAGTCGTTCCAACCGTTCAGGTGGCCCATCATGAGGGACGACAGCTCGACGTGGGTTGACGTCAAAGTGAAGATCGAGGGTGGCCTCCTGCTTCATCTCGAATTGCGTGGTTACCGCTCGGATCAAGACATGACGATCCAATTGAACTACGTGAACGACGCTCTCGTGATGGGCCTCGAGGACGTGTTGTTCATACCGTCATGCACGGTCACTGTCTTCCAGGGGTGGCGAGTGTGCGCCATCTCGTTCGAGGTCGGTGGCCAGCTCTACGCATGCAGCGAAGGCGGTATCGTCGTGGCCTTGGATTTTCCTTTGTGCCACTTTGAGGTTCGCCTGACTGCAGTGTCCTCGGCTGATTCTTTCGGCCACGACGCAGATCGTTTGGAGTTCCGATTTTGCTCCTCCCAAGATCGGTTGGACATGAGGTGCTCTACGATCGCTGTTCCTTCGTCATGGCTCGTGGTGTCCCGCTGCTCAGGGCCGACCCTCGTTCGGAACGCCCGCTGGTGTCGTGATCACTATGCACGAGTGGAGAGCCCGGATCAGACTATGCAGATGTGCCAGATCGCAGGGATCCATGCGCATTGGACGTCTGGGGTGACTGCTCAGTCCCTTGAAGAGACAGGCGCTCGCATCGGGGCGGTCGACGTGAGTTCGCACCAGGAAAACGTTCACCTCACCTGCGAGAGCCCTCTGTTCAAGATGGAGAAGAAGATCGTGCCCAAGGAGGCGATCGCCTTGCAGTATCATGACCCGGCGACCGAGAAGGCCACCATGATCCTGCCGCCAACGATGGGCGCTCCGGCAGTGGCGATTGCTCAATCAAAGTGGCAGCCGATCAGGGATCTGGTCGGGGCGGCTCCGGTCTCATTGACCGATCCGGGGCAGACTCCAGCTCAGGGGGCAGTTCAGTCCAGTCAGATGATCTATGCCCCTCGGAGGTCGCTCGAGCACCGGCGGGGTGAATGCATGTCTGAGGCTGCCGTGACACCGCAAGCTTTTGTACAGCAGTCTCGGGCAGTTTTGAGCTCGTATGCTGCCCAGGCCACCCCTAGGGTCAATCGCCCGTCAACTGTGACCATCACGCCTGAAGAGGCGTCGCCGGGTGTGCCTCAGTCGTTTGGACCGGCAAAGCCCGAGGAGGAAGGCGAGCTGGTCTGAGCTGGACTGAGTGAGGTCCTAATCCGGTTGTGGTGTGCAGTTCGCACTTTGCAGGGCCAGACCTGGCCATCGTTCCGCTCAGAAGGGAAAGAGATATTTTCTTTGTGGACGATCCAGCTTGTGCGAACGGGGTCAATTTTAATTTTTGCCAATGTGCTTGATGTTGGATCTTTTTCATATCTTAGGGTTGATGCTGTGCTCGCGGACTCGTTCGAGGTTCGTGCGATCGGAGATTTGGGGGGGAAGGTTGCCGGGTTTGATCGTCAGCCGCCCTGGGGACCCTAATGCCTGATCGCGTGGCTCGATTCGCACTGCAGGTTCAACCCTCAGAACAGCTCGTTGTGGAAGCTCAGAGTGTTGCGCATGAAGCGATCGCTGCCGGTTCTAACATAGTGTATGATGCCGGTAGCCTTGCTCTAGCCACACTCTGACGCTGTCGGTGTTGATCAATTAAAGACTGTTCAATAGGTTCCTTTAATTGACAAGCTCGACCAAAGAAATCTTGACAGTTCGTTGTCGTGCTCGTGAGGAACTTTGTCGGCAAGGCAACAAGGTCCGAGGTGAGCTCATTCTTTTCTCACTCCGGAGCCGTCGCTCGACTACTGTCTCGACGTGTGGTGCGCACGCTGACGAGGTGTGAATCCCAGCTGGGCTCGTTCGAGTTTTTCGATGACGGTTTGCGGAACCTCAGCACCGCGAGAGCGATCATGGCTCAGGGAGTGGATAGGTGGGTTTCGAAGGTGCTCGCACTTCCAGTGTTTTCACATGATTTTGCGGACGCGCTCGCGGCATCACCTCTGGCCAATTTGGCGCTGATCGCATCAATGGAAGTGTCAGCGGGGGCGCAGTTCGCCCAGAAAGTCTCCGATTGGGCCGGAGCGATGGACCCAAAAGTGGCTGCAGCCTTGCTCAAGGAGCCAGCCATGCTCGAACAGTTTTGGAGCATTTCTTCGTCGGTCGAGAAAAGCTTTTTCGAATCGACGACCCTCCAACTGGGGTTTGGTCTGTGCGAGCCTGCTCAGGCACACCGGGTTCTCACGGAAGAGTCAGCTCTTAGGAAACAGGCAGCCATTCGTGCCCTTGTTCAGAAACCTGTTCGTGACCCGAAGAGGGCAAAGACCACGGGTGATCCTTCGACAGGCTCAACACCGCTCCTGGATCGGGAACAGGCCGAACGGCACAGGTGGGGCGCCAAGCTCGAGGAAATCGGGCGCAGGGCTGGCTCATGGGCGAAGTTGTTCGAAAAGACCTGTGATGGTGAAGAGCTCTCGGCAGGCGAGTCGGCTCGTCTCCGGCACCTTGTCCTTACGTCAGGGGCGCATCGCACCATGGCGGCACACGTTCGTGCATGGGAGAGGTTTGAGCTCTGGATCGCATCTAACAACATCCCCATGTTCCCCTTGTCGCTGGACAAAGTTTTGAAATATGCTCTATACTTAGACGGTAGAGAGTGTGGTTCCACGGTTATCCCTTCTTTAAGATCATCTATACGGTGGGTCACAGCGCGGCTCGCGATCGACTGCCCGAATTTGGATGACCCCCTTTTGGTTGCCCTTCAAAAAGAAGTGGTAACTAAACGAGCTAAGTTGCTCAAAGAGGCGGTCCCAATTCCCATGGAGGTCATTCGCTGTCTCGAAGTGTTTGTTGCTTCGGAAGCTCCCGCGGCCGCTCGCCTTTTTGTTTGGTGGTGGTTGTGTTTGGTTTTCGCGTCGCTCCGCTTCGACGACGGAGTTCACGTGAAACCGGCCGAGCTTTGGCTGCTCAGCGATGGCCTCTTCGGGGTGTCTTGGCAGACGAAAGTCGAGCGTAAGCGCCGAGGGACCAAGTTCGTGATTCCGAGGGTTGGTTTTTCCGGGGTCGAGTGGTTGGAGGAGGGATGGTCTTTGTTGTTGGCTGATTCGCTTGATCGTGATTTAAATTTTTGGATCTTTGATTTGAATTCACGTTCAGAGTTCCGCCCCCAACCACCGGACTACCACCGCTCGGTACAATGGCTGAAAGTGCTGGCCAGAGACGCATTAGATCGGTTCACAAAGAGCTCACCTGAAGAGGCGAAAGCTCATGCCGTTCAGATTAATCAGCTCTCTGCCCACTCAGCTCGAGTAACGTTGTTGGACGCAGCAGTGCACGCGGGACGATCAACAGAGGAGATCGGGCTCCAGGCGAACTGGAAGGATCCCGGCCCTTTGGTCCTGAAGTACACTCGGAATCGTTCGTCCGTGCCGGCCAAAATGGTCCAGCAGCTCGTCCAGGACATGTTGGCTCAGGAACACCCGGTTCAGGAGTCGGATGATGTCTTGCTCGATGCGCCAGACGTTTTCGCCCTGGACGCTCCTGAGTTTTTCCTCAAGAACCCGGCTCCGGGTTCCTATTATGACTACCGCTACCACTGTTCGAACACAGACGATCCGTCCAGGGTAGCATGTAATAAATTCGCTGTGGACGATTGCAGCTCCATGGGCACGGTTTTGCCGGACCTGACAGTTCTGTGCAAAGCATGTGCACGTGCTCGACCAGACGTAGTCAAGGCCTTTTCAGACGCATGACGCAGCTCGAAACAGTGCTCTCGCCCTCACATAGAGAGGCGGTTTTGGGTTTGCTCAAGTGTCTGCGTCGCACACGGTCGATCGTTCGTTCACGGCCACAGTTTTTCAGATCGTGTTTTTCGTTTGACATGAGCATGATTGTCCAGTTCAATTGGCA